TTCCTCTCAACTGCTATATCGATCTTTACAACTCCTAACCACTAGAATCAGGACTGTTGAAAAACACTTAAATTCAGTATTGTTCCCTACTGAAATCTGTTTTTTTTATGAGGAAATACACATTTAGTGAAAGATAGAGTTGTTGAATTTTTTGATCGTCTGTAAAGCTATTGAGTCATCAGTTCTGCTTGTGTTCTGATACATAGTTCAAATGCCAGTCACAATAAGGTGAATGAGAATGATTTTTTTTTTCACAATAATTTTCTGCATCAAACTGAACTACTGCTGAATAAAATATTTTAGCATAGTTTATTTGGCTTTAAGATAGAAATATGTGACTGAAAAGTTCTTGGAAGTAGCTGTCAGTTTTACTGTGGGCCATATAACTAACATTATATACTGCGTCCAGTGACACAATTTTTTTCAGGGAGAGCAGGTTTATTTACAGTGCCTAACATAGTGTAAATTTTAGAAAAGTATATATTTTTGTAATGGTATTTTACTACATGTAGTCTGCCTGAAGGATTTAATACTTGTATTTCCAAAGTATATGGCTTTCTTAGGAAGCCAAACTTTTAAGTATCTTTCTAATGTCCTTTTTTCTATTATGCATGTATTAACAAACATTTCACTGGCAAAAGCTGATCAACAGTAATAATCTTTGACTGTATTGATTGTCCAGACATCCTTCTAGCCTTTAATCTGTGGAGCACTTCACAGACAGTGCTGTACTTGTAATGTGTACTTCAGTTCAGCTTTCATAGTTCTTTTTCTGGCCAGTGATTGAGACACAACAGGAAAAGGAAGCTTGTCTAAAGATGGCTGATTTCCTCACTGTAGCAGAGAACAGTCTGCTATTACTGACCTGAAAAACCTGAAAAGTGCACTGTGATTCTTTTTATTTTAGTTTTGATGTTCAATAAAGGAACAATAGCAATCACTGATGGGAGAGCAAGAGGCATTTCTTCTGTAGAGCCTTGAATTTGAGGTCTATATTACTTGTTAAATCAAGCCTATTAGGAGCAGCCAAAAATTTGCTGCTGTTACTGCTACTTTTCAAGCAGCAAAGCAGTGTCCAGTAACCTTTGCTTTAAACTCTGGTGCTTGAAACTTTACACCACCTCATCAACCAACTTGCTCTGTTAAGGTTATGTGTGACAATCTAATGTATGTAAAATTGGAGAAGGATGCTTTCTGTTTGTAACTTTTTAGTCGTAAAATACTGTGTTGAGAATTATATCTAGGGAGTATGTTTCCCTTTTGCCACTTTTTAACACAGAAAGCTCCTAATGCTGGGAGGTAATTTCAGCAGTTGGTGAAAATCATCATGGGATTAAAGATATCTGTGGAGTTCATGCACTGAAATCAGCTGTCAGCAAGAGCCACTGTCATGGATCAGGATTCCAGTGTCTGCAAATTTTGCCAAGTTGCCTGAAGAAGAATGAATGCTTGGTTTCTTTTTGAAGTATTGTTTGTATGCAGAACAGAATTTAATTGAAGTGTTGTCTTTCCACAGTTTGTGCTTGTTGGCTTTGGCCAGGTTAACACCAGCTTTGTATCAGTGCTCCAGTTATTTGGAACTGAATTCAAGAGAGCAAGATCAACCTGTATGAGGATCTTTAAATTCATGGAGTGATTTGTTTTCACTGTGGATAAACTTCTCTGTGTTTATTCAGTATTACTTTTAAAACTCTGGGGCTCTAGGCTCGTTTACCCCTGGACATTTTGAAGTGCACCCCCATTGGTGGTGCACACAACTGGTGTAATTTCAGACTTGGAATGGGAATACTTTCTTATCACTTTCTACGTGGTTATATTTAGCACCTTCTCTGTGGACCTGCAGTGGTCTCGTGGCTAAAGATTTAGGTTATGGTTTAAAAAAGCCTTGTCAGCAAAAGCAGTTGGGTGTGAGTCTGCCTCTAAAGCCTTGAAGGAGAAGCAATTCAGTAATCTCACAAAGAGAAGCTTGAATTGTTGATGTTGAGATTTCAGTGGTTACATTTGGAACAACTCCACAAACACTACAATGGAAACAAGGTTTTCAATGAAGATGTCAAATATGAAATCAGACTTGAATAACTAGACTGAAAGAAGAAAACTTTTCAGTGTGATCACTTTTATTTCTCAGAAATGAGCACAATTTATTTCTGTGAAGCAATCTATTTATTTGTCAGTATGTTTGACAGCGCAACTGCCCTCTTGTTTCTATTGATACACCTGCATTTGGATGCAGTTTCCCTGTATGTGAAGAGGAAGATGAATATAAGCACTGGAAAAAAGTGCATGACCAAAGGAGTGTTGGTTGCCTCCTGAAAACCTGAATATTTCTTCCCAGGAAATCTTCACAAGAATATTTCTTCCCAAGGTCTTTAGTTTTGGTGACGCTTGTACAGTGCCATGTGGATATATTTGTACCTTCAGTCCCTCGAGTTTGATGTGGCAATTGGCCTATATGTAGAATTGCTTTTGTTTTTGTCTCTCCATTCCATCTTTTCTTACTCCTTCCCCCCCCTACTGCCTGTGGGTTATCATGCAGCTTGAACATTGTTTAGCCAGTGGAAGGGGAGGTTCTGTCTCCTTTTCTGAGATGGCTTTTCTGAGTGACTTTCAGTATATTTTTTTTCTCGAGCCTTAAAATTTGATTAAATAAAATTCAATGTTTTGTACTGCTGGAGTCTGATTTCTAAGAGTTGTTGCTTCCAGTCACTAGTATTTCCTTCTTTAAGGTTTAGACTGGCTACTGAAACTGGAGTTTGTGGATAACTACAGAAATGGTAAAGGTTCGCTGGTGTTCAGGTGTGTATATTGTGCTGAAACTAATGCTTGAATTTTTTACAGTCTGGGCTGCTGAATAAAGGATAACACTGGTGCTTTTCTCTCCATTGTTGATGGAAAGCTGTGAACAGTGAAGAGCTGCAGAATGGTGCAGAGAAATTAAATCTCTGGACACCCAAAAAGTTAAAACTGCTGTTTGCACTTTGCTGTTACCCACAGTTACCACGCTTGTGACTTACTATAGTCTGTGGTTTGTCATGTCTGAGCAATGTTCCTGAAACTACTTGTAAGAGTGCAAAAGGGGAGTAACTTACAGGTTTGAAGATGAGGCTTGTGGAAATAGGTTTGTGTCTGCTTCTTTGACCATTTTAAAGTTTCTTTAATGCATTAAAACCTGATTGCAGTTTGAATAAGGTCAGAGAAACATTTTACTAGGTAGATAATGGCTACATTAGCGTAATGCAGTATCTGGAATTAGGTACTGTAGAGAGTTAAGTCTGGATCATTTCTGATAAAACTGACTTAACCTGAATGTGGCTATTTGGTGTGTATAAATAGAACTTGTAGAACATCTTGATATATCTCATACTAATGCCTGCTTTAGGCACAACCCCAGATCTTATTCTGAAGTTGAGACTGTCTTGAAGCTATTTTTCACCTTGATGTTAGAAATGTGTAGGATGCCCATATCGCTGTGTACTTTAAGCTAGAGGAAATGGCATGTGGTTCAGCTCTTGGTGTTTTTGTTGTTTTTGTTGTTTTTTTCTACTATGTGGTCAAAACCTGGTTGTGTGTTACTCACGAAGTGACTTGCTGGGGTGGTTTTATGAAATTCCCGTTCTCAAGAGTATTTCTGGAAGTGATATTTGGTGCCACATGTAGTGGGCTTAAATAGTGTTAACAAGCTTTGCAAGCGGGGAAGCTTTTGCAGCAACAAAGTTGTAATGTTTGTTAGCAGACGCAAGCCGGTTATACTCAAATTGTTTGAGAACAGGAGGCCTTGTTGACTTTTAAATGTTCCTTTCCCTGCTTTATGATAATTTTTTAAAGGTCGATATTTTGTTCTTTTTTTCCCCTCAGTAACTTTTACTACTGGTTGATTATTCCCTAGCTCTTCAGTATGTACCACTACCGGGGTTTGAATCTGATCTCCGAGATCTTGGCCGTGTGACTGCAACATACTTGCAACTGCTTCAGAATGGTCCCATAAAAAGAAGTTGTGCAATAGGTGCTATTCTCACCTATTTTATCGAGTGACCATTTTCAAATATGAAAGGTTTCCACAGAAATATTCAGAGATATTTGTTTACTACAATTTTTCATTATCTAAAGTTAAACCCAGGTTCTCTTGCTGGAGGTAACTGAACGAAATGCCAGCTGCCTCCAAATCTTCACATGTATGCCCACTTGTAAATTCTAACTAGCTTTACTTTGACAAGCACTGTTTGGACATTAACTGTAATTTCTTGTAAACTTTGTGTCTATTGAGTCTCATTCCAGGTTACAATAGCTGCAACCCTGAAATTAGGGCAAGATCATTACCTCAGACAGGAATAGGAACTTAAGAATATAGCTTGTGACACTAGCAAGTGAAAATTCAGACATGAGCTTGAAGACTGGAAATTGAAGGGGGGGGAGTTGGTTTAAAGGTACAGTGTTGTGGTAGTTTTAACATGTTCAGTTAACTGCTGGGCTCACAGGTTGATTCACAATGTGCAGAGGTTGAATTGGTGCCAATTAGCCCTTTGCATTGTTTAAGCTACAGCTCTCATATAAGGTAAAACCCCATTGTTTCAGCTTGCGTGATGTAAGCTTGAGATTTTTTGTAATGATTTTAAAGTTCCATTGATGTAAGAAAAATTTGCAAGTGATAGCCTTATTTGACAAAAGCAAGCAGCTTAAAAATGTATTACAGGAGTGGTAATTGCCTGATGCTTCTTGTATGATGTTTTCTAAGACCACTTGCTTGACAGGCCTTGTTCCTACTGCTGTGTGTTAGTAGCTCAGTGAACAGAAGCAGTGGGGCAAGTATCTATAGGCTAAATAGATGAGCGAATGAATATTTTTTTTTTTTTTTTTTATATGTACAGCTTTAAAAGCAGGAGCTGTACCTGGGCTTTGGTGGTGTTGGTTGTGTGGCAGCATGACAAATGCAAGGTAGGGTTGGCAGAGCTGGTGTTTTATTGCATTTGCCTCAGCAGGGTTGCTATGAGGAAGAAGGGAGGCTAGTGGGGTGTCTCTCCTCTCAAAACTTGTAATGTGGTGACAGCTGCCTTGACCACATTTGCATTGCTGTGACTGCAGAGTTGTTCGAGGGTTTCTTTAATCTTGTCCTCTTCTATTTCTTGTCTCAGGTCACCTGAATGGGAGATGAAATGCTGATTTTTAGTGACATGCCATGGCATAGTGGCTACCAACAATTGTTGTAAGAGAAATTTGGAGTACTTGCTGTTTAAAATGAGCTGCCTATTTTAATTTGTCTCAATAGATACCCTTTCAGCCATTGAAAGTATGGAACAGGCTAAGATTTTCTTCCCCCCCTCCCCCCCATTGGACTTCCAAGATCTGATTGAACAGAAGAAAAGCACTTTGAAAATGTAATATAGGACAAGTCCCAGCATTTTTTTGCCACTATGCTTTTTGTTAGCCTTTCATATTAGTGAGACTCAACTCTTAATGTTACGGTTAGTCTATGAGGTGCTAAGTATACTCACCTCTGGAAAGAAGTCTTATAGATCACATCCCTTGTGTCAGTACTGCATAGTAGCACTGAAGGATGCAAATACATATCCCTATTCCAATATCTGTGTTGCTACAGGTTAAAAATAGAGTATACTGCAAAATTCAGCTTGTCTGCCAATATAGGGTGGCTCCAGGATTTGAAAGGCACCTTCCATGGTGGCAGATTCTTGCCTGAGCACAATTGTTATTTTCAATTTACATGATTTATATATTAAGATACGAGAAAATGGCACAAATTGGACTGCCAGTTTCAAGATGGTTGTTTTCAGTTAGTGCCGCACATCCAGGATTAGTCTGATCTTGCTCGGAGCATTTGAAGTCTTCCCTAACCGTGGAGTGAGAAAAACTGAAATCATATGCTTCGTATGTTTTACTAAAATTTACCATTTTATCTCAGCTTCTGATTTGCTTACAGCATAGGCAGAACAAATATATGCCTGTCTGTGCAAAATGATGCAGACTCTTTATTTCTCTGAACACAAAAGCGCTGTGGTACATGCAGGACCTGGGACTGCCAGGCGTTTGTGCATGGTGAGTTTGGACTAAGATGTCTTTATTCCAAGGCTCTAATTTTGCTATTTCAGGGCTTGATTATGCCACTGACTCAATGGAATAAAGACTTTCTCTTTTTTATTCAGCTGATGGTTTAATCAACTTTTCATAAAGAAGCTACTTGACTGGGTTTTTTGGTGATCAATAAAGAATGACCCTCTTTAATATCCTCTACTACTCACTGACTGCAACGTAGCAAGCAGCACATTTCAGTAACAGAAAACACTTGTGTTTTGACACAAATATCCATCCTTTCATCACAGACAACTTAATTTTAAGTTACCTGAATTAAGAAGACTGCACAAAAGACCCATTGAGCTATATTTCACCTCAGGACTTGTATTATCATCTTGTAGAAGTTTGTGTAAGCTTTGAACTAGCTGTGTTTCCTTAAAAGATTCTTCAAGGGTTTCTAAAAAATAAGGAAACAAATACCTGAGCTGTTACCTGAAAAGAAGTTAAAAAGTGAACATGCTTGCTGTTTAAAAATACAATTCCTGACTACCTTAATTTCAGATTGGCTATAAAGGGATGTCTTGGGCATCTGTTTTCTGTACTGGAGAGTTTCTGTATTATTTTCTGTACAGTGTTTCTTCACTGAACTCATTCTGGAAAACAGAACCTGTATACTATGCTATAGACATATAAAATAACCTCATAATAGATTAAAAACTGTTGATTTGCATTAGTTACCCAGTTGAGTTTGAGAGCCTTAATGGTAGACCAAGCAGTAAAATGGGCTCTTTACTGTCTTGCTTGTTGGTACAGGAAATTCTAAATTTCAAGTTGGCTTTTAATTTCCAATTTATCTTTTGATCCATGTAGATTTCTGTGGTGACTATATTATAATAATCTGAAACCTATTTTCAAATGTGATCAGTCATACAAGAAAAATCTGAAAAAGTTATACTCAATCTCTCTGAAAATTAGCTCAGTATAAATAGTTAGAACCTTCATAGTTTTCTCACTTGTTTCATTTGCAGGTTCTACAAGGCCCTTTTGTCTCCTTTATTGTCTCCTGCATTTAAATGTTTGTCTTCTAAAGATTATTTCCTCCATTTAGTCTTCGTTGACCATTCAAGTTCATAATTTGTCCTTGATTTTGTCTTCATTTAGACATTCTTATCTTTTTCCCTAGTCTTCATCACATTTACTTTCCTTTTGCTTTTTTATGTAGGTTTCTAGCATCATGCTATGCTACTGAACAGACTGTGCCTCTGCATACAACTTGATCATTGGACTCTACCCTAAACAAAGAAATCTTCAGGCAATTCCTGAAGCATACTGCTTTTGTGATCTTCTGGATGGCTGACCTCCTTTATTTCATGCTGAAGAGCTAAATCTAGACAAAGATGCTTTTCCTTACATGTTATGTAGAATTAACAGCATGACAATGTTTCTTAATAATTGAAGATCTTGCACAGGTAAATGCTTTTAGGAGAAAAAATACCTAAATCGATTGCAGATGCTATTGCCAAGGCATTCAGAGCCTCATTCTGCATGGCAGCATGTTCACATGTTGTCATGGAAACCAGATGCTTCACTCCTTGTGCCTCCTGGATGGCTTTGACCACTTCCTGTTAAAGCAAAGGTAAAACATCACAGATGGAAATCTAGCTTATGAATACAGTAGAATGAAGAGAGCAATGAGATTGCACTCTTCAGCCTCTGAATTAGGCGGAAATGATTTGCCTGCTGCAGTGTGAACTGACGATATTTGAAGATGAGAGAACTTTTCTTTGGGCACTGATTGTACATGTCTGCTTAGGCCTTGTCTGATTTGCTTGGAATATCAATGCTTACAATTATGTGTATGCATATCTATAAGTAAAAATAGTTATATTTTGTCTTAAGAGTTTTAGTATGACCTTATTGCCATTTTTCATTTCAAGCCTTTAAGCTAGGAAAGATTAGTTTTACTTTATTGAAACCTGTGCAGATACTATCTGCTTTTTTTTATCACTACCTCCAAGTAAAACACAGCTGGGACACCTGCGTATAATAGCATGATTTACAAGAATCAGGCCTGTTCTAATATGCCAGCAGATACTCATCACACCAGATTCATCCATCACTGGGTAGAGAAGTGGGCTCGCTGGAGTTCCTGGAGGACTGATGTTTGGGACAGGTCTGGGATATCTTTGCCATTTCAAGTTGAAATTTGAAACCAATATTTATGGAAATAGAATAGCTTTACTTACCATTTGTCAGACCTTACTCAAGCTCGGTAAAAGCTGACAAGAGATGGTAAGTAACCATGTTGCTTGTTTCTGTACAGGATCTATGGAGAACGCTGCTTTCCTACTCGCCTCCCCTTTATTGGTATTGAAGCAGACTAGAGGAGTTTTTACTGTGAACCTGTATGTTTTTAGTGATAAAGCTGTATGTGCTATTTAGCGCTTAACCTCTAGCTGTATTGACAAGCTTTACAAATATTTGAGAAAGATAAATTAGGAGCATATCAGACCAATAGCTCTCGTACTTGGGATCTGTTGTGACGCAGGATCGATGCTAGCAGCCGATTTGCCTCTCCACAGATGCCGGTGTGGTCGTTAGCATTGCACCACTGCATGAGTCTGTTGAGCAGCGTGGGGTCCTGGCCCAAGATTTCAGCCGCATCAGCTGAGGAAAAAGCATCATCATGAGACATTCAGAATTGGACTTCTTGGTGTTTCTGTCACAGAAATGTGAATGTAGAAGTTGCCAGGACCACAGGCCTGAGCTCAGTATCCTTTACGAGCTGTGACTAAAGCATTGGGCTTTTAATGGGTCTTGGAAATCTTTGCCTGAGGAATGCCAGCTGTATTGGGGCAACTCTTGGAGGTAAAGAACAAAGTATGCTGTTCTGATAGACTTATCTTTTTTTAAAAAGCTACTGAAGCAGGGCTTAAAGTGAACAGCTTTGTATCTTTGAAAGTACGTATTCTGTTGCTATACTGAAATCATGAGGACTGTCACTTTCCTGTTTGGTTTCGTGCACTTGCTCTTTGAGCCCTGCACAAATGCCGTCGTCAGTCTGTTCTTGCTGTTTCAGTTCTCTTAGTAATGGTGATAATTACTGTTGGTAGCACATGGGAAGCCAAGTCTTAGTACGGAATTGCAACATGTTTGTAATTTCATGTCTCAGATCTTAAGAACATGTATTGAACTGTGTATAAGGTGTCATCAAATCTTCCTCCAGAGTTTGGAGAAGCCTTTTAATTTGTCTTCTGTGTTTCAGGGATCCTATCTCAAGACTTGCCAGGAGTATTAATCTGTGTGGCTGACGTGTAAAAAAACCTCTTGGATAGCTTTTGCTAGGGAGTGGAACTCTAATGTTATGTTATGGTTTAAGGCTTGTTGCCTCTAAGGGAGACTACTCCCAAAGCTCTTAGAAGTTCAGCACCAAAAGGAGCTTTACTCATGCTCTCTGAATATGCTGTCAGTCTAGCAAATGGTTCCACAGGAGTCCTGCAGCAGTTTAATAATGTATCTTTAAAGTGCTGTGGATCAAAAGTGATGAACTGGTGGAAAGCGGCTTGCTAAGCAAAGGAAAAATGCAAATATAAGGATGCTGAGATCTATGAAATACTATTTGAATCAAATATGTTAAGCAGGGGTTCAACCCTGAGAACATCCTGGTAAATACTGCTTCAGTAATTTCAGTTAGTTGCTTCTACTCAATACTTAAGACTTTGAAATTCTAAATCTTGGTTCAGCTGGAATTTTCTTCTAAGTGAAGGGTCCAAGGAGAAAGAAGAAAGTTGTAATGTGGACAACTTAAGCTGCCTTTTTGTAGGAACTGAGTGCTCACCCATTTGCCTTTGAGCACAAAAGAGCTGTTTTGTAAACTGCCAAACCACTGTTTCCATGTCTTCCAGTTGATCATATACTGAGGTTATAAATGCACAACACTTCCAACGGGGCACCAGATGTAGCAACTGAGAGACAAGAGTAGTCACAGGACAGATGCTCACTTTTGGTGTAGAATGATTCTATTTGCAAAAATACACCGTGTTTAGAAGATATAATTCAAATTTAGGAATCTCATGTAGTTATTTTTAATTAAAGGTTTTTCTTAACTTCATTTTGGTCATCTTCAGTCCTGCCTCATGCCCGCACCCCACCCCTTGATACTGGAGGACCGGAGAAGATGATCATGACCAGTGTGTTTTGTTCTCTGAAGAAGGAAAGATATGGTAAAGGCCTTCATGGGAAGTGTACACTCCCTAGGAAGGGCTATAAAGGATCTATGAGCTTTTTCCAATCTTTTTCTGCTTTTCCAGTCTTAAAGTAGTTCCAGGCCTGAAAGTAAGTAATGAGGGAGATCCTCGCTCCTTTAGAAGCAAATTCAGAAAGGGGAAAAATGTGGGGGAAATTCTGTGTGGTTTTAAGATACTGGGAAGTTTGTCTCTTGGAGCTTTGCTGAAGCAAGTACTTGAGGAAGAGCCAACGTGAACATCTGGAACAGAAGGGGTGGGTTTGGCTGATAAGGGCGTCGCCCTACTCCTGTCCCTTTCTGTGTGTTGCATTTGTTTTGAGATATTCTGGAAAGGGTCAAACAGTGTCGACCAGAAGGTCAGTGTCAGTAAACCACATGATTACTCTGGATTACTTGGAAACTGTAAGTCGACCTATGCTGTTTCTATTTTGGGGAGGGAGATGAGGAAGGGTGGACACTTCCTTTTGTTACTACTTGTCCAGTACACTAAGGAACAATCCGCAGATCAAAATCCCACAAGGAATCTGGGAGCTTCTAGCCTAGTTAAACGTTTGTTTTGAGATGAGTTACTTCTTGTTGCCCAGCCACCTGCATATTGCCTCCTGTAACAGAAAGGCTTTTGTTTCTAGGTCAGATGTTACATGTTAGTCTGAGGAGATCATGGTAATCCAGTTTAGTACAGAAAGCTGGAAGAGGTAAGAGGGTGGTGAATGGACCAGTCTAAGAGGTTTGTTCAAAGGAGGCATTTTGACCCAGTTTGACAGGGACTTCCTGATGCTTGCCAGCAATAGAGTTCTTTGTGATAAAATCCAATTAGTTGTGCTTAACAGCAACAGGAGGACCTTTTAACTTACAAAACGCTGAATTTGAATAAATTGTGTGTGTGATTGAACTTTCAGTTGAGCTGAAAGTCCTTTGACTGTTGAGGAACACGAATTCTTCTGCTCCTCTGAAGCAAAACAATGGGGAAAACCAGGAGTTAATGTTAACATCTCTCTAGTGTAATGAAGCTTACAGATCTGACTGCAGCTTTTTATGGTTAGAAACTTACCTATTCTAGGCTGTAGGCCTCAGCATGCCCAGTGATTGTCAGAGTAATGAATTTATACTAAATAATGCAATTAACTGATTTTGTGTGGACTTCTTAGTAGATGTGTATTCGTAAGAGTTTCAGGCTGAGTTAATGAAGGGCAATGTTAGCTCATGGGTAAACGGAATAGAACATAATTAGAGGTGGGAGAATTGTGTGCTTATAGGCAGGAATTGGTAAACATTGAATAATCTTCTACATCTTTTTTTCTGCCCTACACTTTGATATCTGTATTGTTTCAGATTCAGAAGTTGTACCATTTTGTGCCAAATTCTGACTTCATACTACGGCTGATTAATAGCATTAAGTAGAAAAAAAAATAATTCATGTAGTGTTTGATAATGTAAATCTGTGTTATTATGATGTCTCAATTTTAATACTAAATGGTCTCCGTTGTCACAATTCAGGTATAACTTTGGAGAAATGGCCTTTTAATGACTTCCTTCAAAGCCTGAGAGGAAGAAGAGGCTGAGTTTCTGTATATCTTGCAATGTCCATTTCCTACCATGATGAAATAAAAGTGACAGCAGATTTTTACTAGACAGGAATCAGTGCGGATTAGTGCTATATCTAAGTTTTACATCATACATATTCATTTAAGAAAGGACGCAAGTAGCTGGCATATCAAAGTGGTATCTGTAGTGGTATAAATGAGTGCAGCACGAAATGTCAGAGAGGGATTTTATTTCCCCTTCTGTATAACTATTGAGTGTGATTGTAATTGTTCTGTACCAGCTGTCGGCTCCTGTTGGAAAATAATGGTCATATCTTTTCTGATTTTGTTTTTGACCCATTTCTTGTTATTCCTGTACATCAAGGTGGTCTGTACTGAATAGTATTTTAGAGCAGCTGCTCTCATGATATGAAAGAATTAGAACACTTATCACTGAAAAAAAAAAAAACCACCACAACACTTGCTGTTGTATTCTGTTCTGGTGAGAAGCTAGGTAAGTCTAAGAACAAATTAAGGTATTGTAGGAGATATTAATGTGATTCTGATACTGTGTATGTTTCTCAAGTTGCAACTATATGCACAGCGAGAGTATTGCTGCCTTTGCATACCCATCTCTCTAAAACCGAGGGAAGTGCAAGGACCCATATTTCAACACGCAAAGTAAATTCAACGTTTGAGCCACACCAGCAAGATAAACCTGGCAACATGTGTTTAGAGAAACTGTCACTGGTAGAAACTGATTTCTCCTGCCTCTCTCCACCCTGGCTCCCTATGATCCTTTCATATTCTCCAGTTCTACTGGTTTGCTTTCCTGTGATTTGGCACTGTAAATCCTTAGCCTGAGTCTTTTCCATCATACTTATGCCTTGCTGGTGTGTCTCTGGTGGAAAGCATCTTCCTTTTAGGCCTTTGCCATTTCTCACTGACTGCTGCAGATTCTTCCATTTGGTTTGTTTCTCATCCACCTCTGAGGCTCACTGGGCCAGTATGGAAGGCTTGCAGCCTCCGTCAATCGTCTCTGTTGGAATGTCTTCAGATTGTGTGGAATTAGGTTAGCAGGACACTTAGCCTGTAGTCTTGCACATCCCTTGTCTTGCAGGGAGAGGGGAGGAGGAAGGTGTGTAGTTGACATGGGTAAACATGAGCAATTCCTTACCTTGACCATCTGCTAACATCCGTAGTGTTCCAAGAAGCTTAAACTGCACAGGAGGCGTCTCTGACCTTAGAAGTGCCTGAATCCGTTCTGCCACACCTTCCTCCAGCATTTGAACCTTGTTAACCACTAGAAAATGGAAAAAAAAGACATTGTGAAGCTCAGTAACTACACAAGCATCTGGAAATACAGATATCACATAAGTGTTCTGAATCTTATGCTCCGTTATGCTCTTAGCAAAAGGTCCAACTTGTTAGAATACTCAGAAATTAAGTCAGCAATACTTGACTGTTTCGGCTTCTCTTTTGAGCTAAAGCCTTCCTCGGAATTGCTGTTACAGTGTTTTGGTTACTTTTGATCTCAGCCCTGCTGGGAATGAAGTACATAAGAGGATAAACGCAGTGTTGTTTTCCTTTCTTTTTCTAGTTGTGGGAGATTACCCATCCACTCACCCACTCACATGAGCAAGCCTTTCGTATGCTTGCTCATCTTAACTGAACTGGGTGGCAGAAGTGATTTACGTAGCCGTATTTCTTAAAAATGAATCTTCTTTTTCTATTTGAGCTTGCTGATCCCCTGTTCATGCTTCGTTTCTGTGCTTTCCTAACTCTTGCGTCTTTGCACCAGTTGTTAGTGCAGTAATCCCTGGTAATAATCGGAAGCTTGTCTGCAAAGAGTCTTAATGCTGCTTGACTGTGCTACCAAAAGCTGCTTCCTCCAGAGAGATTTTCTGCCCATCCTCTGCATGCTTTTTTTGAGGGGTGTGGGAATGCTAGGACAGTGAAATTAGGGAGATAACTGTTCTATCCGTTCTTCCTTCCATTGGGCAAATGGAGAAGCAGACGCTTTAACTTACTCTTAATGTCCTTTTTTTCAATGGCACAGACTGACTCTATTCACTAGAGCATAATGACTTCTGTTGTTTTATAAGCACCTGTTCTCCAAGACCCCTGCCTGAATTGAAGACTTCTCCTGTACTTATTTGCAAATGTTGGACCATATTTAATTATTTTTTTATTTTGTTTTATTTGGATTTGCGCTCAGTCTTCTTTTTTTCCCAGGCAGCAGACTATACTGTTGAGAGTGACAGAGTTTTTTGTATTTCTGGGAGTAATGTATTATTGTGAGGAAATGTCTTACAGCTTCCGTATTCTGATATTTCTATGAATTGATGAGGAAAAGCAGAGTGTAGGATTAGCGTTTTAAGTGCTATGCATTGCCCACACGCTTGGAGAGATCTAAAATAGTTTGTGATAGACTTGAACAGAACAGATAACCAAAAGTCTCTGTGGTGATACATTGATATTTTATAATTCAGAGTTGACCCTTTTAAAATACAGCTGCAAAGAACATGAAGACCTACTGGTACTACATGTAGTGGGCGGTGATATAGGAGTGAAGTTGTAGGTTGCAGACACATATTTCCAGAGTTTTAGAACCTGTAAGCTTTGCAAGATCATCTGTGTTCAGTTTTTTTGGGAACTCTCCAGAAATGACTGGGCTTTGCATTGCAATAAGCAGGCCTTGGTATTCATTGAGGAGTGGTTTCTGGTGTGAGTTAGAATGTGATCACCTCTGCTTGTTGTCAGGGGAAACGACATCAAAATTGCTATCTTTCAAATGAGATTAATTGGTATCTTTGCTGCTTGTAATCATTAAATCATATTGTACATATTGTGGGAGGGAAGTCAAGGAGAACCCTAGGCTTATAGAAAAAAATCCACATTTTCATTCTAAGAAGATAGTTACATTTTGCCTACTAAATTACTCTCCTAATTTCAGCTGGATGGCTCTCTGATTTTTCATCATTGTATGATTCTGTGATTATCTTCTAATAGCTCTGTGTTAGGTTGTAACTGATGTAAGGTAGCTGGCATACGTGGTCGAAATGCTGGATACTCTATTAAGTAATTTGCACAGGCCTCTGTCTGCTGATGCGAGTGGTGGTAGAAAAATCTCTTCAGAGAAATAAAATATACATGGAAGCAGTGAGGGGCTTATGGTGTGAAATATGTTTATTAAAATACTGAGTAGACAGACATGGCTGGCTATTATGATCCAGAGTGTGATAATGCTATAAGCCAAACTAAATAAATTACTTGAGAGCATATCAAAAATCAGTTGAAAGAAATAGGTGAAGTTCTGAAGAGAGCATCTGAAGAAGAATTGAGGGTGTATCAGGCTTTAAAAGGAAGTAGTAGAGGCAAAGTAGCAGCTAGTATATTCTGGGGCTCTCACTTGTTCTAAGCAGTGACTGTGTATAAAACTGTTAAACCAAGCATGGTGGCTAGCTTACATAATAAAATTGGCAGACAGCTTAAAGTTCTTGTATTTTGAGAAATTAGGGTTGGTGTCATGCTCTTCTCTAGAGTGCTATGTGGCAGTGTGAGGACTGCATTGCAGGGTGCTGCACTGTTAAGTCTCCAGCAAAACATTTTTGGCCTGAATTGCGCTTTCACATGGAAGCCATAAATTTGAGATGAGAAGGAGCATGTTTTTCTGATGTGTATCAACAGAACATAGAAGAGTAGAATCACAGAATGCTTTGGGTTGGAAGGGACCTTTAGAGGTCATCTAGTCCAAACCCCCTGCAGTGAGCAGGGACATCTTCAACCAGACCAGGTTGCTCAGAGCCCTGTCCAACCTGGCCTTGAATGTTTCCAGGGATGGGGCATCGACCACCTCTCTGGGCAACCTGTGCCAGTGTTTCACAACCCTGATTATAAAATATGTATTCCATATATCCAGTCTAAATCTACCCTCTTCTAGTTTAGAACCATTACCCCTTGTCCTATCGCAACAGGCCCTACTAAAAAGTTTGTCCCCGTTTTTCTTTTATGCCTCTAAGTATGGTAATTTTTGTGTGTTACAAAGGCTGAATTTGCAATGAATATTGTCTCTGTAGAAGAGGAACAGATTTATCAAGTCCCAACCAGCTCCTATGTGATAGCTCCACCCCATACTGTGTATTTTAACCTATAAACCCTGTTCTGCATTTTTGTCTTGAACTGCTGTATGCTGTTACTATGAAACTGGCAGCAGCTGGCAGTGAGATCACGCTTTATATTTAGAACTTTTATGTAGATGAGAAGTCCTGATGAATTATTCAAATATATATGTCTCTGCAGGGGGGAAAAATGTCAATTACCCCTCAAAATACAAGGGACTGGAATTGGTAACTCGGACAGAGCTGCACTGATCTCCATTAAATAACCCTTCTTTACAAAGAATCACATTAAGTGAACCGTCTTCAAATTCTGTACCAGGTATAGCAAGGTTTCGAAGTGCACTGAGTGCAGCGTGTTGAACAGAGATGTCCCCACTCTCCACATGTTTCTCCAGAAGATCCAGAAGCTGATGTATGACTCCCAGCTGTACCATTCGTACACAGTTGCCATCTGAAGAGGCAAAACCAAGCAGGTGAGAGAGATAAGAAACACAATGATAGAAATTAATCATGCAGACTGAGAATTCAGAGAGTCTTTACCTTGACTGCTTTCATGTCTTGATAAGATTGAGACTGCAGCTTTGGCATTGTTTTTTACAACCTTTGACACTCTATAGATAAGTGGCTATCAACCACCTGTGAAACGATGCTGAGACACCCCTTAGTAAAGTTTAGCTTGAGAGAGCTTTCTAGGGACAGTCACTGTCAAATTCAAAACTATATGTTCTGTAGTCAATTTCTTCTTCAATATTGCTTTATATTCCACTATATATGTGGTGGAATACTGGTGGAATTTTCCATTTCTCCACAGGATAGCTTTAGTACTCCAGTTTTGCTAGTCTACTGGTTTTAAGAGACTATTGTGAGACCAGAGATCTTACCCAGCAATGGTGAGTCTGATTACCAGTTTTGTACTGCTGTTACTCCTAGCATTCAGTCAAATGATTTGTCATTAACTAGTAATTGAAACAATCAGGCCTAGGTTTTTCTTACCTATTTTGAGGAACCCGCTTTCTGAAATGAGGAGTATAATTGTGTTGCCCTCATATGAAGCTAGGGAAATGAGTTGACCTAGAGAGTTCTGATCTGTTTAATGCTGGTGAAAGAGCAGATTTGTACATGCCAAAGAACTACCATTTTGCCCAGTAAATGCTCTGCAATATTTTGTCAATGCATGTCTGTGTGTCTCCCTCCAAGAGCACTTGCTCTGCAGAGGTGACAGCCCTTTTGTTATCAGAAGCTACTTAGCTCACCGTGGTGGGAAATGAGAGAATGTTCTCCTAAAGAGCAAGAGGAAAGCCTGCATATTAGTCTGCATCCTTCCTGAAGAAAGTGTTTTGAAGGTGCCATTTGACAAATATTTTTCTGTATTCTTTTATGCAGTTTATTATACCTCAAGCATATTCCTGACACCAGTCAGTATTTCCTTATTGCTGTGCTGTTACTCTGTGACTGCTGCTTGTTAAAATGTGGCAAAACAGTGTGAACGCTATGTCGGAAGACCACATCTTCACCAGGGTTAAACAATTATCTGTGGAACTATACAGACTTTATACAAATATAGAATCTGGCCAAAAGTAGCTTTAGTTGTTTCTCATGGCTCTGCATGCCCTAAGATGTACAGACTTCTAATATTTATGTATATACCACTTAAATATGCTCTAGTGATTTTAACACCTTTGTTGCTTAGTGTTATTTCTACCCCAGTGTAGCAGAAACTCCTCCGTGTTGTCCTCTGAACCAATGCCTCCTGTTCCTTTAATTTCTGATCATTTCTGTTAGTAGCATATTTCCCCCCTGTATTACTACATATATTAAATAAGAATTTGCCCAGTGCTTATAAAATGTAGGTGGATATTTTCAGAAGAGAACTGGCAGTCTGTGAAATAGTTTGAATTCTACTCATGCAAAAATCTGTATATGAATTTATGTATACATTTTCTAAAGCTGATGTTTCTGCTTGTGATTCTTCTAATGTTCTCCTGCCTAGTCCTAATCTTTGGAGATCAGAGTATATGAGGAAAATTGCCCTGTCCTCTGCAGGAATAGATTCTCCAGGAACCAGACAATCTCTTTAGGTTCTACAAAATTCTACAGGCAAAATACTTTGATCTTCATATGGACTAACCTTAATTGAACTTAATTTCTCTTCTCCCCCCACCTTTAAACCAAAGAATGGCAGAGCATTTCTTTCTCTTGTAGTAAAGTGTGACTAGGCAGAACCCATTAATGGTTGCCTTGCTTTGATTGTCACAGAGCTCCAAATAGGTGTTCTCTCCTATGGATTTTTTTCTTGGATAGCAGCAGAACCTTCAATTTAATGGCTCATAGTTAAAGTAGGGTAGGAACAGCCACTTTCATAGCTGCAAAAGATGTCTGTCATCTTTTCACTGCCTCAGAAGTCATTTGATGCTGAGATCCCCCCCCCCCCCCCCTTAGATTAAAGGCTGTGCATACGTTAGTGGCACATACTGGGACCTGAAAGGGATTATTCACTTTTTCTACATGAAACGTCTAATGGGGTTGTGGGGGAGATGGAGGGAGAAGAGCAAATGACAAAGCAAGCCATTCAGCTGAATAAATTGAAGATAGCCAGTTTAAAGGCATGCAGGGCACTTCTGTGGCCTTTGTAGAACCATGGTGCACAATGGCTGATTCAGAGCAATGTACAAGACAAGGAAGAAAGGCAGCCTAGAAAGGATGTGGGGAGGAGGTGGGGAGGTGTGTGCAAGATAGCCTGAAAATAAAAACCACATGAGACTGACTAGCTAAACGGTTGTGGGGGAATCTTTTATGATAATCAAGCACCTATTAATGCAGAAAGTTAAGTAATATTGAAAAGTCTCCTTTTTAATTGGGTTGGAACCCCATGCAGCAGCTATCTGTGAGAAAGGACAGAAAACATAGTGGGTATCTTCTGCTCACTGATTCATCACAGTATGCCTTGCAGGAGTCTGTTTACAAGTCTCTGTATAGTATTAAGGCTCTTTGCTTTCTATAATAGCAAAGTTTGAAGGATAAAATGGCTTATCTTGAGGGTTTTTTCCCCTCTTTGAAATGTCTGAGTAGTCCTCTCTTCATAAAAGTGACTTAAACATCAATAACTGTATGTTATTTTTTGTATTTCTAGCAGATGTATTTGCCATGAAACAATTCCAGTCTCCCCTCTGATAATGTGTGATTTAGGAAAAAAATGTGCAAAACCTTGCATACCTGACCACCCTATTTTTCACAATTGTGTCTCTCAAACTGCTTCAATATCATTAGCATCTGTAACTTAAAGGTATGCAAGTCTCCAGTCTACAGAAAAGCAAGAATGTTACTGTGTCAGAGCCAGGGAGTAATGAAATCTGATAATGTTGCTTTTCTCTTCACTCTCAAGCAGTGGCTTTCCATCTTTGAAGGGTAGAGAATAAAAATTAGCAATAGCCGTTGCTCCTGTCTCTGTAGCTGCATGTGTTTGGATGTGATGCGAGTACCAACTTTCTGAGATGATGCCACATCCCTTAGCAAAAAATCTTGTGCAGGTGCTTATCTGTGGCATGACAAATACAGAGAACATCTCATGTCTGTTTATATGGAGCTCCAGAGTGAACTGTTCTCTCTGTTTTTGGGGAGATTCAAATCAATGATGGCTTTAAGATCGTTGTTATAGTTTATAATTTAGGACCTTACATTGTTGGTGGCTTCGGGATTGCGGGTGGTGGGATGCAGTATAAGTGCAGTTTTTGGTTTTTTTTTTTTTTTTTTTTTTTTTTGATCTGTATTGCACAAAATACAGCATAGCAGGTCCACCTAAACCAAGATGCTGTTAAGTCTTTAGCCTTTTCATGTTGTTCCTGAAATCAGCTTAAAGACTTGATGAATAATTTAGGTCAGCAGTGTCTCTAGTCTGCTCCTAATAGATAGATGCAGAACTTACAAGGAAGTTCTTACATTTTATTTGTTAATTCAAATGTTCAAAGTACATACACGGATTTTGAGTAATGAATGAGGAAACAAGAGTAGTGCAATACCATGTGAACTTAATCTGATGATTAGCTTTAAATTTAAAAACTGGCTCTTGGCCAGCTTTGAAAGTAAAGTTAAAGAAGCAGGATGTGAACTGACAACTGCAGGTACGGCTGCAATGGCCTGAAGTTCTTGTGCTTCTGTTGGTGTTGTGTGCAGGAGCAGTCACAGTGGTATTAGATGACCTAAGGCAATGCATCTATATGCTTGAAGGGAAGCATGGCAATGAGAGCACTAGGCTCCTAGAAAAAGTGAAAAAGTGTGGTGTCTGAGAACAGTTCCCCTAAAGATTATAAATCAGGTTGCTGTTGTGTCCCTGTAAGCCAAGTAAATGAAATCAACAGAGCAGATGGCAACTCCTCTGCTAAAGGGACTTTTTGATGTTTCTTTATGTATCTGGACTGTCAATATTCCCTTTTTTACCTCCAAGAAGCAGAGAGACAATGAGATCTGATGCAGCCTTCAGAATGCATGTATCTTCAGCTTGTGAGCTACCCTGGAGCCTCAGCAGGATCTCGGACAGCACCTCTTGCACGCCTGCCTCCACCAACTGCACTTTCAGAGCATCTGTAGAGATCACAGTAAAAGCATGCTAAAAGCTTCTTGGGTCTTTGAAGTGTTTCACACTAGGAAGCTAAATCCTTGAATTTTAGCCTGTCTTTTTTCAGGTGCAGTTTCTTCTCTGGTTTTGTTTGTAATGGACATTCTGGTGCTAGGATGACACCAAGGCAGAGTGAACCAAACTTCTGTATTGATCTTTGATGTTTTTCGTATTGCCAGTCAGAACATGGTTTAGCAGGCATGGTGGTGTTGGGTTGGCAGTTGCACTAGATGATGATAGAGATCTATTCTAACCTTAATGATGCCATGATTCTATGAGTTTTCATTTCCTTAAAATCTGTATCAGAAATCTAGGTATTTAGTGGATTCTTGTCGGTGCTTGTTACACCACTGCTTAGAGCAGACATCTTCTAAGAGATTTGATTGTAGTTTTTTTATGAAAAACAGTCTGTCTAGTCTGCTTTCCTGTTATACACCATGGAGAATATGAATATGATCTTATGGATCCACCAAAATAAGAGTGGGATGCTACTCTCCCTGTTTTCTTTGTTGTCTCACCTATTAAGCTTCAAAGTCTTGCTCAGGCCAGGATATCGTCTCTTCTTGAGGCTTATTTCCACTGAAGGGGTTGCTGGTTCTGTTAGTAGGATCCCATGGCAAACTCAGAACCCTGAGCTCAAGCTAAGTACTACTACCCAGTCTCCCCTCATTCCCCCAAGCTGAAAGGAGCCTTACCGTTTTCTGCAAGTGCTTGCAGGACCTCAAAGACAATTTCTAACTTCTCATGGTTCTCTGCTCTTCTCAGTTGTTTCACCATCTGTTCAGCAACCTTTGTCTTGCTTAGAGCTTCCTTGGCTGTATCTGTGTATGTGATAGGATTGTGCATGTTTCTTTATCTGATTAAATGTTTAAAGCATATCTTCCTGTAATCTCAAGTGATTAGACACTGCTTTGTTTTTGAATGCTTTTTCTGTTTTCATAGACGCTTCTGTCCCTTTAGACAGCACAGAGACAGCAAAACTCTACTACATCCCTTCTTCCCCCCCACTTGTTTCTTTAACACTGTTTTTGTGTAATTCTTGTAGCTATGACCTTACAATAGCTGCCAAATTAATTCTGGCTTAATTCCACTGACTCTTGTAAATGCATCTGTAGTATGTTTATTTAGTATATCAAATTGGCACATGCCAATTTACTGTGATAGTATGCTTTCTGCTTGATTAGGTGGTTCTAGTCTTGCTGGGATCCTAAACATATGCAAGACATGTTAACAAAGATCAAATTCTTTTAAAGCTTGATGCTGGCTGACTTAGGACACATTTGAATGGAACATGATACTAAGTAATGTAAGAGATCTATAAAGGACAGACCTCACAGGAGGAGGATGTGACAGTATGATACCATATCCCCTTCCCTGCCTCGCTCCCAAAATGCAGGAAGCAGTAGATCAAATTGTAGTCAGACCATACATAAATTTTGTAATTGGTCTTTTTCTTCTGTCATTACTTGCCGCTTGTGTAAAGTAGGGCAGATGTATTTTAAATCAGTGGAGATGCCTTTGGTTTGAAAATTGTGTAAATGAAAAGGGAAGCTGTTTCATTAAGGTATATAAACTTAATTATTAAGTAGAAATAAATATTTAATAAATGAGTATTAAATGTACCGTATCTGAAGTAGATGAAACTGTCAATTTACCACATTAAGTTATACCCTCTATACTTTTTTCTGGGTCAAAAGCTGTCTATTAAATCTTAATTGTTTTTATATAGTACCAGCAATGTCTGGTGCTCCAGTGAAGAGCAGATCTGTATTCTCCAATACAGATATCTCATCAGGGACTGGCTGCAGCATCAGTAGTGTTTAAAAGATAAAACCCAGAACAAACAAAACAAAACCAAATCAAAAAGCCCACCCCTCCCCTGAATAACCCAACAGAAACAAATGCCCCCCAAAAAACCCAAAACAAAACAAACCCCCCAAACCTGGGGGCGTTCTGCTTGTACAGGAAAAGGCAATGACAATGTGAAGGTGATATTTTGTTCCAAGATACAAAAACATTTACTTACCAAGGTCTGCAAGGTTGCATAAGGCCAATAGATCAACATGGACAAGTGGTTCACTCTCTGCGTAATCGGTTAATATTCGGACTAGTGATGTGATTACTCCTACCTTCACCAGCTCTTCCTGAAGATCACCTGGTAATAGTAAGCATAAAAGTTAAAGGTGATTAAATAAGAACCAATTAAAGCTGCAAAAAGGGTCCGACAGAGATGTTTTGCAGTAAGGTAATCTGTTTCTTTCTCACTCTGTTAGAATTTGTACAGCTCTTGTGCTGTGGATTCAGGCTAATGTGTGTGTTTGGGAAGTGCAGGTTCAGGACAGAGTTTTGCTAAACTTCCTGATTCTGCTTTGACTGAAGGAATTAAACCGCTGTAAAAAATTCATGAGGACAATGGCATGAGCATCCCTACTACAAGTGCAACTTCTACTGTGAGTTCTGATGGCTATGTCTCTTGGTACGTATCTGAAAACTGAGTGAGGAACAGACCTTTGGCTTATTTCTTTTAAGGAATGGGAATCTCAGCCTTATTATCCTATGGCTTGTTTTATTCTGAAGGGTGGGGACACAGAAGGGACTGGATACATGAGATAAAGCATAGTCTAGTGACGGCTCTGCTACCAGGGATCAACAGTGTTCTGACTCATATAGTAAATGTCTGTATACCTGCTTTTTGCATGTTAGAATAATGATTCTTATTTTGTTTCTTAAGAAAAATTATTTGTAAAACAATGTTTTACCAGTGCCTGGGCTATTATAAGAAACCACTGAGACATAGACTGCTTTAAAGTTCATCTCAGGGAATCATCCTGCTTTTTGAATGTTAGTTGCTCAGCATATATTTCTAGTATATTTTTTTTTTCTGACACACTTTTTAAATAAGTGCTTTGCTTTTGTAGATGCTGTTACTACTTTGGAAAAAGACGAAGCCATTCAGTATTTGGGCCCAAGGCAATTCTAGAAAATTGATTAAGATATGTC